AATAAATAAATAAATAAATCATTTTTATATCAAATCCTCTCCTGCATCCTCTATCCTTAGTAAAATTAGAGGCTTTGTATATTCTTTGATGCACTGAAGAAAAATTTTGACGGGAGATTCACTAGCCTTCAATGCAGATACAGTTTGAAACACTTCCATTTGAATCAGATATATTTTGAATGCAGCTTTTGGTATATACCCTTGAGCATGGCTCACTAATACTATTATATGCTTTTGAAAAGATTAGTAGAGCTGTAATGATTGGACTCCTGGATTTTCTTTTGCATATTTGAAAATGCCAATAGCATCGATGTGCTTCATCCAATCTCTTGTTTACGCATCATGGTAATATTGATTTTGAGGTCACTGGGATGGTGTCAATATCTTACTGTTTTTTTTTGGATACCAAATATAGGGTACTTTCGAAGTAAGAGAGAGCGACATTGATTATTACATTATGGGTGTTTGATATGAACGATTTAGTGGATGATAAGTTAGTTTGTTGTGCCAGTTGTTTTAGGCATTTCGATTTAGATGACAGCAGTCCTTGCAACAAATATGCCCTAGTGTTAGTTTTGACATATGAGAGCGTACTATGCAGGTTTTAGCAGCCCACCGGTATGGTATCAAGAGAGTAATTCTTCCAGAGAGAAACTTGAAGGACTTGGTGGAGGTACCATCTGCTGTGCTCTCCAGCCTGGAGGTAAAATGTTTCCAAAATTTGAACCCTTTGAGATGTGTCGGTCGTCTAAAATAGGTGATTCGAGAGAGTCCATGGTTCATTTTCTAATTAAATCTTGTTGAAATAGATATTACTGGCAAAACAAATGGAGGACGTGCTGGAACAGGCCTTTGAAGGTGGTTGCCCGTGGAGACAGCATTCTAAATTATGACAAGCATCTTCTGATTTACTACTCCCATTGTCACCCAGAAGCCAGAACGACTACTTGTTTTGGCCAAGATGAAGCCTGCAGGTGGCTCTTTGGCTTTTTAACAACATTTAATTTCGCAATATTTCAAATGTATCTTGTAACATTACCTGTTCATTATTTGCTGAAATAATTACAGCGTCTTTTTCCTTTATACGAAACCATGTACCTGTCGTATTATTCTTCTCTCTCAGCGAGCTGTATTTGCAGCAATACTTACAGCGTTCCTTTTCATTTTATTAAATACCCTGTCCCTGTTGAAATTAAGTGGAAAATTCTTTGTATTCCCTGGTTATAATGGGATACTGGTTGGAAAATTACAACCCCATAGGTATTTAAACATCACAATTCAGAAATCAGGGTTGAGGTTTATTTATTCACAATTCGGTATTATAATTAATCAATGATTCACCCTCAACCCACATCGACACCTCATCCCTAATTTCAAACATAAATCTCTCTCTCTGCACTCTCCTCTCCATTACAACAAATCAACTGTCTTGCATTAGTTTCACTGCAACAGGATCGGCGTCGCTGCAAGAGAGTAGCCTATTGCCAAGATTTATGCTCCCAAGTGGCCGCGCAACCTCTGCCCAGTCCGCGCGACCTCTGCATGCGGTTACGCACAGATCGACTGTGGTGGTTGGTGAAGTGGCACTCAAATAACAATCATTGCT